AAATTAAAAAAATATATAAAAAAGTTGAACAATGTTGAAAGTAGTGTTGAATTTTTGAAATATATATATATATATATATATATATATATATCATCATCAGTGGGATTCATTCGGAATCGAAATATGGCCTTATTTGCAACATGAATTCGGAAAATAAGTTTATTTTGAATTTTAATAAACAAAACGTTCACCAAAAAACTTTAGTGAGAAAAATTGAAAAAACGAACTACAAACATATTAACGCCAAACATTCGGTAGAATTTATAGAATATTGTAAAAATTATGTTCTATTACCAACATATATATATATATATAAATTTTTGTAAGGCCCATATTATAGCATAGGCCTCCTTCTCGATGGTAGCCCAGCGCTGTTGTGTCTCAGATAACTTCTTACTGGCGAAAGTAATGGGTCGTTCATTCCCTCGTTCATCGGGTTGTGCCAAGCAGCATGCCACCGTATGATTGCTAGCATCGGTGATTAAACAAAAGGGTTGTGTATAATCAATCGTATATAGACCTCCCACCTCCTGTAGCTGTTGTATTGCCATATCCAAGCTTCTTTGATGAGCCTCCAACCAATGTATCCTTGATCATAACCTTGCAACTCTTTTCACTACCTTCATCGTCTTTCTCCTCATCAACATCTCGATTAGGAACTCCATCTACAACTACACTGTCATCTATTTTACAATTATTAAATTCACAAACTTCATCATCTTTCTCGTCATCAACGTCACGATTCTGAATTTTATTTGTAATTACACTGCCATCTAATTTACAATTATTAAATTCACATACTTCATCATCTTTCTCGTCATCAACGTCACGGTTCTGAATTTTATTGTATCTCTCTTGACACTGCCCATGGGGGGCGTCAACATTGTAAAAAGTCCCTAAATTGACCAATGAACCACTGGCAGATAATACCCCTGCAGCAGGTACTACATAAGGCGTTACCAACTTTAACTGTTCTACCACTCCTGGATTAATAATTAGTGGTTCACTAGCATTTGGTACCACGGCACACCACACCCGGACGCCAGGGGTAGCAGCCTTGTCCCCCTGAGTCAACGTTACCCATGTGGCGTCCACCTCAGCCACCTGTCCATTCCATCCCTTGATCCTTTCAGTTCCCAAACTGGGTAGATTCAACTCCTGGCATAACTTCTGTGAAATCCCACATACCTCAACACCGCTGTCCACCAGAGCCTCGCACACTGGACCGGGTTGAATTTTTACCTTGACATATGGCCTCTCAAAATATTTCTCTACTCGCATGGCCTCTGTCAACCCGAGCTGTTTGCTGTGCATTCCGGGGGTAATCTGACAATTCATCACCCTCTTGGCCGGTGTCGTATAGTTAGACTTTTTTGTGCAATGTTTGGCCAGATGGCCAGTACTACCACAGGTAAAACAATTTGGCTTCATCGATGGACCCCTCCTCTCATCCTTTACAAACCCTTTACGGCCACTTCCTAAATGAGCATGACCAGACTGTGTTCGGAAACTAGAAACAGAGTTGGTCGATCCCCTCATATTCATATTCGCTTCATAAGTCTCCAACAGGTTTGCTACTTTATCATGTGGTAACCACTCGTCACCCTCCTGAGCCAGTATGTACTCTACCAAATTTTTTGGTATTACCTCCTTTAAACGGTCCACAACCCACAAGGACATGGCTTGTTCAAGGGTTTCAATTTTCCGACTCTGGAAATAGAATTTGAGATGGCGATACAATTGTGCAACAAATGCTGGGTATGTTTCCTCCTTTGCCTTATAGGTTGAAAAGAATGCATCCCGGAGCTTCTTCGGGCAAAATCGGCAAGAGCGAATGATTTGCTGCTTTATTGCTTCATAATTTGTATAATCTTCGGTCCGAAGTTCATTCAATATAGTTTTCATCTTCGGCTCCAGTCTGGACAACAACAGTTCAGCCTTGGCCTCATCACTGATTCTATAACTTTCAAATATGCCTTCAATCCGTTGAAAATATGCGGAGATCTCCCGAGGGTCAGTTGGGCATCTTCCTAACATGGGGCCAAATCTGTTGCCCATGTTAACCCGGTCTTCCTGTTGACTATTACGATTATTAATTTTTAATTGTATGTCAGCTTCCCTCCGTAGCCTTCTATCCTCATCTGCGCGTTGCTCCTCCCTTTCTGCGCGTTGTTCCTCCCTTTTAGCTGCTTCACGTCTTATTCTCCTTTCATCTTCAGCTGCTTCTAACATGATCCGGATCTGTGTGGCTCGCACAGGATCCAACGTCTCCTCCTCCTCACCGTCCTTTGTGCCCTTGTCCTTGGACCTTAAATTGTGAGCCATCTCACTCACTTTGCTCCTGCGCCGTTTCACACTTTTCTTTCTTTTAGTGTGAATCCCACCGCTGCCACCAAATGTAACAGGTTCTTTACGGCTTCTATCAAAAGACTTGAAATTTGATGTGTAGAAACAGAAAATAAGCTTTCTTGATATTCAAATAAATCGAATTAGAATACAAATTAACAAAAATATTGTTCAATTATTAAGTTAATGTATGTATTGTCGTTGGGGTGACAAACGTGCTTTATTACTACGGTATAGACTGTCACGTTGTTGTGCGAGTGTTGTTGTTGGAATAACTGACGCCACGACGTTGCTGGATAAGAGTTGTTGTAGCTGAGGTGGTTGTTACCCTGGCACTGCTGGGTTGGAGTTGTTGTTAAAATAACTGAAACCACGACACTATTGTGTTGGAGCTGTTGTTGAAATAACTGGTTGTCGCAGCTGCTGTAGTTGTGGTGGTTGTTATCACGACACTGTTGTGTTGGAGTTGTTGTTGAAATAACTGGTTGTTGGAGCTGTTGTTGACTCCGCTACTACTATCTGCCACCAATTACCACTATTATTCCTATTAACGACGTTCCAATTAGACTTGCGACTGCCAACGTCCTACCGCCAAACCTACTACCAAACGTTTTAATTCCAAATTAAACCTATAATTACTAAAATGCAAAGTTCTACCGTCTACTATCAACCAAGAGTTAAACTACGCCGTTCTGACCCAATAATTCTCCTATTATCGCTTTATATATTTTTTGTTTTTCCGCAATGCGGCAACCCCGTTAAGATTAAATCATGAGGCGCCGCATGCTAAACCTCAACCTGTGACATATATATATATATATATATATATATATATATATATATATATATATATATATATATATATATATATATATTTTGGAACGAGGTTTTCTTTGATGCAAATATCGTTAAATATTTTTGCCCATTTTGCATTAATTAATTTTTTAATAAGGATTTCGACAACACGAAGCTGTTTTAATTCATATTTATTATCATTATGTGTCATCCTAGGCTTACAACGTTGTTTCGACATACAGTCATCATCAGAGCCTGGTTTTACGAAATATCAAAAATTGAATTATAGTTTAAACATTAAAATCAAGAAATTTAATGAAAAGTACAAGAAGTGAAATTGTAAAATATGAAAAATGTTACTTTGTAATAATAAAATATTGCAATAAAACAATAAACGGTTTTAAACGAATGAAATTAAAACTAAATTATGAAAATAAGTAAATAAAATTGTGTAGAAACGTATAATAAAACAATTCAGTTAGACGGAAAAAACAAGTGTTTCGTGGCGGGATGATATTAAAAGTGAAAGACGATATAAAAAAAAGGTGAATGTAGAAATTAAAATTTGTTAATATAATTAATAAATAATTTAGAAAAAGGTAAAAAATAAAATTTGAAACAAATAAAATGACGTTATTAAAATAAGTATTATAGAAAGATAAGTAATAAAAATATAAATATAAAAATATCATAAAATAAAAATAATTTAGCAGTTATTGAATAAGGTAGCAAGTGACGTGATGATCATGGATTTCGGACGTGACGTTAATAACTGTGTATTAACTGGTCGAAAATTGTCAGACTTAGAACGATATTCGTATCGTTTGGGTACTGAAACGTCTGCTGGCTTGTTTTCGACTGCAATTGTTGGTATCAGTTCACGATATTGAGAAAATAATTGAAGGGTATGATCGAAACTTTTATATTGTTTGTTTAATGTTGGTTTGTATTTGTTGATGTACAGGGCTTCGCGAATTTTGAGACGTCCAGTATTTAATACTGAATCCAGTATTTTTGTATTTGAATCCAATATGGTCCTAGTAAGAGGCATATGGTGCTCGTTGGACATATGGTCTCTAATGGCGCCCACAACACTGTGTGGCATAGGACATGTAAATATATATATATATATATATATATATATATATATATATATATATATATCCATATATATATTTGAAAATTTAAAAAACTTTCCTTTTTTAAGATTATAAATGTTAAATAGGATTTGAATATTCAAATTGAAAAAGCACAGATTGGTGCGTAAAATGTTTAAAATGTGTAAAATTTAAGTTAGGTGAAGCGATAGTTAAGCGAGGACGACGAAGCATTTTTTAAAAAGCGGCATTTTAATAACTTTCAACAGTTACAATTCAGGAATTTATGCGGTATATTATTTCATTAAGATTAAGATTTCGGTTTCTGAAAGAGGTCTTGTTGAAAATTTTAAAATCAATTTTCTCGTAATTAAATTGTAATGACTGTAATAATTGAAATAAAATTAACGTTGTCTGCAAAACTTTGCAATCCCAGACTTTAGATTTGTATCGAAACTTCAAACATTTAAACGCTGCTAAACCTTTTTGTGCCGTGAGCCAACGGAGATCTTTTGAAATTGCGTTACATGATTGTATTCTGAACTACCTGAAACAAGCCAGTCTGCTCCATTTTGGATGGACTGGAGAGATGCAATAGATACAATCATGAAATAAACCGCTGCAGTAATCCAGTCTTAAGTGTGTAAATTCAGGCATTAAGGTCTTTCTTGCCCACTGATCCAAAGAAGATTTGTGTATCTTTTTCAACACACACACACACACATACACACACACACACACACACACGTATCAGACGCACATATATATATATATATATATATATATATAATTATATTTTTTAATGAATACAACAACACACGTTTAGACAACATTTTCCCCAAGATCGGGGGTTACCGTTTGGCTACCTATGGGGAAACCGAAATACCCCTCGACGCCATTCACATTTGTCACTCGCCTCAGTATCACGCAACCCCGCTTTCACTATGTCCTTCTCCACCTGCTTTCTCCATCCCAATCGCGGACGATTTTTTATAATGAATAATAATAATAATTATTATTATTATAAATATTGTCTTAATTATTCGCACCTGCAGGCATCTGATAGACGGAGACCTTTTGCATTTGAACCGTGTCAATGTAACAGAAACACCAGGCAACTTATCAATTTCACCATCCTGTCAACAATCAAAAGTACGTTTGCAAGGAGTTGTATGTTCAAATATTTGTTTGTATATATGTTTGTATGTATGTTCGCACTAAAAATTATTGTTCAAAATTTCAAGTATATTCTTCTCAGATTATCGAATGAGGTATGTTAGATGAAGAGCATTCGAATGAGTGATGATGAGGATGATGATGACGATGATCGTGGCGATGATGATGATTGCGAGGAGGAGGGTGGTGGTGATGACGAAGATGATGATGGTTGTTAGGAGTAGAAAATTGAAAATTTTTCAAAAAATTTAGGAACAAAAAAGAATTTTGAATTTGATTAGATGTAATATTTTGAAAAAAAGAAAGGCAGCCGATTAATTGAATTGCGAAATTGAATTGCAAAAAAAAAATTTTTATAAATCTCCAAAAATGAAAAACTTATCGGAAACAAAGTGTGAAGAAATTAATGAGAATATAATGTTCAGTTTTAAACAATTTTTATACAAAAAATTAAAGAGTATAATGTACAAACAACAGATAGGCAACTAAATGAAACAAAAAATATTTGCATTGGAGGGATTCCAATTCATCGACTTGGATTGCGCTCAGATGATTTATATCTGCTAAAAGTTCAGTTTGTTAAATTGAAAATAGAATCAAGAAATCTAGCTATTGTTGGATCGATGATTTGAAATAGTCTGCCACAACATTTACGTGACCCGGCTCTCTCCCTAGCAATGTTTCAAAAAAGAATTGGATGCTGATTTATTTTTTCTGGACAATTTATGATTTCAGTTATTGGCGTTTTTAAGAAGATTTGAAAAAGCGCTAAACAAACATTTATAATAATTATAACAATGATGATGATAATAACTGCATGTGTGCGAGAGAGAGAGAGAGAGAGAGAGATAGAGAGAGAAAGAAATGGAAAAGCTTGTAAACGAACGCAGGCAGACGATTTAGACAGTAAACAAACTTTCAATCTTGAACCTTTAAATTATGCAAACATCTATCGTCACGAATAAACAACTCTGCTCAAAACATGCGGGTACAAACATGTGTACACGCGGTGCATACAGCGGCGGATCTAGAAGACTTTGACGAGGGGCCAAAATTTTGAAAAATTTTTCATTTTGACGGAAGAGCTAAGATTGGCGGTAGTGTGGCTGACGACTTTTTTTGGTCGATTTTATACATAAAACGGTCTTTTTTTCTGACTTCTAATAAAAAACTGTTCACAAGCAGGCCTCCCACGGTCCCTGTCCCTAGATTCGCCACTGGGTCATGTGTGTGGGTGTGTGGTGAGTGCGTGGTGTGCATGTGCGTGTGTGTGTGTGTGTTGTGAGTGTGTGGTGTGTGTGTGTGTGCGCGTGTGTGTGCGTGTGTGGTGTGAGTGTGTGGTGTGTGCGTGCGTGTGTGGTGTGTTTGTGTGTGTAAAGTTGCTTTCTTCCTCATGCATTAAATATTTTTGTGAGAGTTAAGCCTGGTCGGCTCGAAAATAATTTCCTACCATACATGCAGTTCGCTAGTTAATGGAAGAGTTCTGTATAGTTGCATGTGCTTTCATTCACTTTACTTAATATCCAACGTAAAAAGGTGTTGGAGTAAGATCAGTGAGTGAGTGAGTGAGTGAGTGAGTGAGTGAGTGAGTGAGTGAGTGAGTGAGTGAGTGAGTGAGTGAGTGAGTGAGTGAGTGAGTGAGTGAGTGAGTGAGTGAGTGAGTGAGTGAGTGAGTGAGTGAGTGAGTGAGTGAGTGAGTGAGTGAGTGAGTGAGTGAGTGAGTGAGTGAGTGAGTGAGTGAACGAATGAATGAATGAATGTTAATCACTAAATTCAATTTAAATGCAAATATAGAACAGACTGGTTGATAGTTTAATTTGAAATGCCAGCTCTACAACTCCCCTCCAACCAGCATATTGAATTGAACTTGTACCTGTTGAATTAATGTATGTTTGAACAATAGTTATTTTG